AGGTGTGAGCCACGGTGCCCGGTCTGTTCCCGACTTTTTTTTTTTTTTTTTTTGCCAGCGTGTGATTGAGTTTATTGTAGAGAATGGTAACAGGAAATGGGATTGTACAAAGAAAAGAGATGTCCCATCCACGGACCTCAGCAGCCCTGCCATGGATCTGCCTGAGTATTTCCCCTCAAGAAGTTGATCTTGTCACTTCTCGTAATACGGCTGATGCGTTTAATGTCCTCCGTGAGCCCATCCTCAGTGAGGATTCCGTTTAGGGTCCTGTATGCGCTTTCCACGTTCCCTTCCGGTACCGTCACAGTCCTGGGAACGAACTTCAGATTTTTTTTGAGACGGGGTCTCGCTCTGTCGCCCAGGCTGGAGTGCAAAGGCACAATCTCTGCTCACTGCAGCTTCCCGCCTCTGGGTTCAAGCGATTCTCCTGCCTCAGCCTCCTGAGTAGCTGGGATGACAGGCACACGCCACCATGCCTGGGTAATTTTTGTGTTTTTAGTAGAGACGGGGTTTCACCATGCTGGCCAGCTGGTTTTGAACTCCTGACCTCTCGTGATCCACCCACCTTGGCCTCCCAAAGTGCTGGGATCACAGGCATGAGCCACCGCGCCCACCATGCCCAGCTATTTTTTTTTTAATGAGGTTTAGCTTCAGATCTCGTATTTTTCTTTTTCCATTATTACTATTATTATTTTTTTTGAGATGGAATCTTGCTCTGTCACCCAGGCTGGAGTAAAGTGGTGCGATCTTGGCTCATTGCAACCTCCGCGTCCCGGATTCAAGCGATTCTCCTGCCTCAGTGTCTTGAGTAGCTGAGATTACAGGCGCCCGCCACCACGCCTGGCTAATTTTTGTATTTTTAGTAGAGATGGGGTTTCACCGTGTTGGCCAGGCTGGTCTCGAACTCCCGACCTTGTGATCCACCTGCCTCGGCCTCCCAAAGTGCTGGGATGACAGGCGTGAGCCACCGCGCCCGGCCTAAGATCTCCTATTTTTCAGGACATTCGTCTGGGCTGTTAGGGCTTGTGCCCTCAGCGGGTCAGGCTTTGACTTGAGCGTGATGTATCCAGGTGTTGATTCCGGTATCTTTCACTGCTGAGAGGGTTCGAGAAGAACAGGGTCAGGGCCCTTCCCAGCTTGGCTTAGCGAAGGAGAGAGAGGACAGTTTTCACTGACACCAGATTTCCTGGGTGAGATAAAGGTGGTTTTATTTCCAGGGGTTGCCGTTCTGGTAGTTGTGTTAATTTTTGTTGGAAGTGAGCTAGAGAGGTTACATGCTTACCCAGTTGAGAGGTTTTTCTGTCTGAAAACAAATCTCTGAGCACATTGATACGTTTTATCCTCTCCCAAGTGAAAAGCTTTGGTGAAGGATTTTATGAACCTCTGGCCGGGCGCGGTGGCTCTCGGCTGTCATCCCAGCACTTTGGGAGGCCGAGGTGGGCGGATCACGAGGTCAGCAGATGGAGACCATCCTGGCTAACATGATGACACCTCATCTCTACTAAAAAAAGACAACAACAAAAGATTAGCTGGGCATGGTGGCGGGCGCATGTAATCCCAACTACTCGGGAGGCTGAGGTGGGAGAATCGCTTGAACTCGGGAGGCGGAGGTTGCAGTGAGCCGAGATCGCACCACCGCCCTCCAGCCTAGAGGACAGAGTGAGACTCCGTCTCAAAAAACAAAAACAAAAACCTTCATTGGCTGGAGGCTGGCAAATAGAGTTTGCCATCCTGACTGGAGCCCAGCAGCTGAAAAGCCTACCCTGGAGAAGGGGCTTTCTCTATTTCTGTAGTGGAATACTGAGGTTTAGTTTCTTTTATGGAGTCCTCCTGGATTAGAAGGGCTGGAAGTGTGTTGGTGCCTTGCTTGCTTGCCTTTGATTTGGCCGCCTGATCAGCTAGTCTCTTTCCTTTGGGTTACTTTGTCTGTTCCCTTTTGATGTTCCAATACATCCCTGCTGTCTCTCCTGGAAGAAAAACTGAGAATAATGACCTGCTAATTTCCTGGTGAGGTTATCTATCTGTCTATCTGTCTGTCTATCTATCTATCTATCTATCTATGTATCTATCTATCTATCTATCATGTATCTATCTATCTATCATCTATCTGTTATCTACCTATCTCCATCATCTATCTATCCATCATCTACCTATCTCCATCATCTATCTATCTATCATCTATCTATTATCTATCTATCTATCTTCTCTATCTATCATCTCTATATATATCTATGTGTCTATATATATCTCTCTCTTTATTATCTCTTTCTATATCTATATCTGTCTATATCTATCTATCTCTCTATGTCTATCTATCTGTCTGTCTATCTGTCTATATTTTTGAGACAGAGTTTCACTCTTCTTGCCGAGGCTGCGGTGCAGTGGTGCAGTCTCGGCTCACTGCAACCTCCATCTCCCGGGTTCAAGCGATTCTCCTGCCTCAGCCTCCTGAGTAGCTGGGATGACAGGCACCCGCCACCAGGCTCAGGTAACTTTCGTATTTTTACTAGACACGGGGTTTCATCCCATTGGTCAGGCTGGTCTCGAACTCCCGACCTCAGGTGATCCTCCCGCGTCGGCCTCCCAAAGTGCTGGGATGACAGGCGTGAGCCACCGCGCCCTACCTTCCTGGTGATATTTTATAGGAGATCCATTTGTGGTAAGAAGATGCTTTTCCTTCTGAATGGCAGCATGAGCATGGATAACCAGGAAAGCATCCAAGGAATCAGCATACATGTTAGCTCCGTTTCCCTGGCGTAATTTAAGTGCTGTTATAAGAGCTATCAGCTAATTGAGCTCTTCAGTCTCCGGAGAGTGACTTTGCTTATCTTGCTTTACTGGCTGTTTGCTGGCTAAGAGCTGTCCCTAGAGGGCCGTCGTCCTGGCACATTGTGTGCAGTGGAAACAGTTGTTTCCTAGGCTTAACTTGGAGGCTCTTCATGACAGTAGAGCTGGCATGACAGTGGCTTGGAAACGTATGTAAATAGGTCCTCCTAACTACCACTAAGGTTGAGAAAAAGATTGGATTAGAGTTTTTCCTGAGATGCCCCTTATAGGAAGTGGGGAGGCCTGGACGAGGGAGGAGAAAGGAGAGAGGCTGGCTCTAGTGTTCAGAAGGAGGTCTGCTTTCCTTTCTTCTGTTTCCGGAATTGCCCAGGGCCGTGTGCTGTGATGGCATTTTGAGCCACTGGAGCAGGGGGTTTGCACCCACTGACCTCCAACTCTGGGAGCAGTTCTGTCTCCACTGCTTTTCACCACAGGCTGGACGGGAGCGAGGTGACTCTGTCTTGCTGCCCGGCCATTCCTTTTTTAAAATGTCCTGGCCTGCCACACTTTTAGCAACTACCGGATGCACCTGGGGGGATCTTGGAGTTTGCAAGCCTGCCAAGCTGTTGCTAGAGGCTTTGTCCTTCTCCTGAGGTTTCTCTTTTTGGGCCTCCTCCTGGTGCCTATTTTTATTATTATTGTTTTTTTCGAGACGGAGTCTTGCTCTGTCAGTAGGCTGGAGTGCAGTGGCGTGATCTCGGCTCACTGCCACCTCCACGTCCTGGGTTTAAGCGATTCTCCTGCCTCAGCCTCCTGAATAGCTGGGATTACAGGCGTGTGCCACCACACCTGGCTGATTTTTGGATTTTTACTAGAGATGGGGTTTCACCGTGTCGGTGAGGCTGGTCTCGAACTCGTGACCTCGTGATCCGCCCGCCTCGACCTCCCAAAGTGCTGCCTGGCCACGAAGAGGATTTCTGTTCCCACTAGGGGGCTCTGTTGCCTTACAAATACCATGCACCGACCGGGCACGGTGGCTCACGCCTGTCATCCCAGCACTTTGGGAGGCTGAGGCGGGCAGATCACCTGAGGTCGGGAGTTCGAGACCAGCCTGACCAACATGGAGAAACCCCATCTCCACTAAAAACACAAAAATTAGCCAGGCGTGGTGGCCGGTGCCTGTCATCCCAGCTACTCGAGAGTCTGAGGCAGGAGAATCGCTTGAACCTGGGAGGCGGAGGTTGCAGTGAGCTGAGATCAAGCCACTGCACTCCAGCCTGGGCAAAAAGAGCAAAACTCTGTCTCAAAAAAAAAAAAAAAAAAAAAAGGAAATACCATGCACCTGCTAGAGAATTAGTACCAAGTAACTTTATTTAGGGGGAAAGGAGAGAACCCTATTCCTGGAAGACTGAGCTGTATCCCTGGGAGAACTCTATTCCTGGGAGACTACAGCAGCGTTTTCCTGAGCTGTATCCCTGGTTGACAGCATTTCCTGGTGTGGCACAACAGGATTCCTTCCCTAGGCTGTAAAAATTCCCGTGCATTCGACAGAGAGTGAGAGACCGCGGATAGAGAAGGAAGGGAAGAAGGAAAGCTTTGCGGTAGGATAGCTGGAAGACAACCCTGAGATTAAAGGGCAGATCTGAGGGTGAGATTCGTCCCCTCCTCACCGCTCTCATGCATGAATTCCCGGCCAATGCACCAAAATGCTCCAGCTCCGGTGACTGGAGGAACACCGGGGTCCTTGGTCTCGCGCCAGTTTAGATAAGATGGCATGGACACACGTGGAGTGGTTTTAAGGAACGGAGAATTTATTAGGCAACAAAGAAGGAAGGGAGAAGGCCAGGAGTGATGGCTCATGCCTGTCATCCCAGCACTTTGGGAGGCCAAGGCGGGTGGACCACGAGGTGCCTCAGCCTCCCGAGTAGCTGGGACTACAGGTGCCCGCCACTACGCCCGACTAATTTTTGTATTTTTAGTACAGAAGGGGTTTTACCATGTTGGCCAGGCTGGACTTGAACTCCTGAGCTCGTGATCCGTCCGCCTCGGCCTCCCAAAGTGCTGGGATGACAGGCGGGAGCCACCGTGCCCGGCCCCTCTCTCCCCTTTCCTAGGAAGTCTGATCTCCACACCACACTCTCCACCACCCCAGCCCCTCCCAGGGGAAGCCATGACCCCTGTGTAAGCAGCCGAACTTTAACCATAAAAAATCTCTCTCTCTTCTCCTTCCTCAGGTTGCCCAGGGTTCACCTCCGATGGGCGGGCAGGTGAGCACTTCCAGCAGCTTCTCCAACCTGCGCTGCAGAAATGCGAACGAGGACTGGATGTCGGCACTGTGTCCCCGGCTCTGGGATGTGCCCCTCCACCACCTCTCCATCCCAGGTGAGGGCAGGGTGGGGTGGGGCGGGGGCTGTTACCTCTGCGTTCCCCAGTGGAGATGCTGGCTGCAGGAGCAATCCTGGGTGTGGGGAAATCCCACAAATCACACCGACGTGGATACACACGTGAACAGTGTGCACGTGTGTGCATATACATATGTACATAGGCATGGACATGCACACACATGGACACACGCATACAAGGCATGTATGCACCCACACATGCACACGTGCACGTATGCACACATATGCGCACACACATGCACACACACATATACACACATACATATGCACACACATATACACATGCACACACATTCACACATACACACATGCACACACATGCACACACACATGCACACATACACATGCACACATACACACATTCACACACATATACACACATACATATGCACACACATACACATGCACACACACACATATGCACACACATACACACGCACACACATGCACACACGCACACATACACATGCACACATACACATATGCACACATACACATTCACACGTACACACACATACACACATATGCACACATACACATTCACACACACATGCACACATACACACACATTCACATATACACAGATATGCACACATACACACATGCACACATGCACACATACATACACACATTCACACACACATACACATGCACACAGACACACAGACACACATACGCACATATGCACACAGACACACATACACACATATGCACACACACAGACACACACACACGTGCATACTGTGTTGGTCTGTTCTCACCCTGCGAATAAAGACATGTCTGAGACTGGGTAATTTATAAAAGAAAGAGGTTTAATGGACTCACCGTTCCACCTGGCTGGGGAGGCCTCACAGTCATGGCAGAAGGTGGATGAGGAGCAAAGTCACGGGTTACCTGGTGGCGGACAAGAGAGCATGTGCTGCGGAGCTCCCCGTTCTGAAACCATCAGATCTCAGGAGACTTCTTGTCACCAGAACAGCATGGGAAAGACCCCCCCCCAAGATTCAGTGACGTCCCACCAGCTCCCTCCCATGACACCTGGGAATTGTGGGAGCTACAAATCAGGATGAGATTTGGCTGTGGACACCACCAAACCATATCACAGACACAGACGCACATAAACACGTAGGCACACATGCATGCACACACACACGCACACACACACATGCACACACATGCACACGGAAACATACACATGCATGCACACACAAATACATGCAGCCAGGAACGTACACTTACATTCATGCACACGTATGCACACATGCATGCACACACATGCACACACATACATGCATGAACACATGTACATAACCACACACATACACATGGAAACATACACATGCCTGCACACACAAACACACATGCACTCCGGCACGTTAACTTACACACATTCATGCACACATGCACACATACATGCACATGCACATGCACATACACACACATGCACATGGAAACACAGATGCATGCACACACAAATGCACACACATGCATACACCTATAAACACATACATGAACACGTATGCACACATGCACATACCCACACATATGCACATGGAAGCACACACCCGGAGGCCCATGCAGGCACATGTATACATGCACATAAGCACACACATATGCACACATGTATACATGGACAGAGGCTCACAGATATGCACACATGTATACATGGATGTAGGCTCACGTATGCATGCAGATGTGCAGATGTGTCCACACATACTTATGCACATCTATGAACGCACACATGCACAGATGCACCCACACATGCACACACGTTCATGTCCATATGTAACGTTGCACATATGCACACACAGGTATCCATACACATACATGCATATATGTCCATAAACATGTACATACAAGCACATAGACACATGCATACACGTATGTGTAGATGCTTGCCCCTATGCACACGCACAGGTATATGTGCATGTACACATATGCCTATACATGTACACATGTAGATACAGGCACATACACATGCACAATGTATACACATTTGTATTTATGCACACACATATATGCACATGCACATATACAGACGTGTGTACACATGTAGCTACGTGTATATGTGTATATATGTGCATATGAGCATACATGTATATCTTTGTATATACAGCTATGCGTGTATGTGTATATATACATGTATATGTGTGTAGGTACATATATGTGTATATGTGTGTATGTGTATATATACGTGTATATGTGTGTATGTGTATATATGTGTATATGTGTGTATGTGTATATGTACGTGTATATGCGTATATATACGTGTATGTGCATGTGTATATGTGTATGTGTATATGTGTATATATGTGTATATGTGCATGTGTATATATACATGTATATGTGTATATACATACACACATATACATTTTCAGTTTTATATATACAGATATATACATATCCGTATAAATACATGTATATCTGTATATACACACATATATTTACGTTATTGATATTTAAGTGTTATATTCATAAATATATTGTATATATTTAAATACACGTATCTTAAGAAACAACAACTGTGTGTCATAGGCAGTAAATGCAAACGTCAGCCATCAGTCAGATTCCACAAAGGTCTGTGTTTCTTGCAGCTCCCATGACAAGTGACCACACGTTAGGAGACGGCAAACAACAGAAATTTACTTTCTCCCAGTTCTAGTTATAGAAATCTGAAATCAAGATATGGGCAGGACCACACTTCCTCCAGAGGCTCCAGGGGAGGCTCCTTCCTCCCTCTCTCAGCTCCCGGGGGCTCCAGGCGTCCCTGGGCTTGTGGCCGCATCACTCCGGTCTCTGCCTCCGTCTCCATGAGGTCTCCCCTGGGTCTGTGTCTCCTAAGGACACCTGTCATTGCATTTAGGGCCCACCACAAAGCCAAGATGATTTCATTTTGGGAGCCTTCACTCAATTGCATGTGTAAAGACCCTATTTCCAAACTGGTTACTGGGGGGAGTTAGGACTTGAGCAGCTCTTTTGGTGATCACCACTCAAGTCATTTAAATTGTGTTCAGTTCCTTCCTGAGGCTCTAGAGTGGGGATCCTTCCTGCCTCTCCCAGCTCCTGGGGGCTCCAGGCATCCCCTGGGCTTGTGGCCGCATCACTCCAGTCTCTGCCTCTGTCTCCACGTAGCCTCCTCCTCTGTGTCTGTGTCTCTTCCTCTGTCTCTTAGATGGACACCTGTCACTGGATTTGGGGCCTGCCCTACTCCAGGATGATCTCATTTCAACCTCATATCTGCAGAGGCCTGGTTTCCACACAGGTCCCGTTCCCAGGTTCCAGGGGACGTGAGTTTTGGGGGACGGTGTCCACCCCTCCCGCCATGCCTGTGCCTGTGCTGTAGGCGGGCGGCCGAGCGGCTCACAGCAGGTGGCAGGGACGGGCCCGATGGTGACATGTTTGCGTGTGCTTTGCTCTCAGGGAGCCACGACACCATGACCTACTGCCTGAACAAGAAGTCCCCCATTTCGCACGAGGAGTCCCGGCTGCTGCAGCTGCTGAACAAGGCCTTCCCCTGCATCACGCGCCCCGTGGTGCTGAAATGGTCCGTCACCCAGGTAGGGTCCGCGCCCCGCGGTGCTGACATTGTCCGTCACCCAGGTAGGGTCCGCGCCCCGCGGTGCTGATTGATGCTGGAAAATGATCCGTCACCCGGGTGCAGGGTCGGCGCCCGAGTGCAGATTGTCCAAATCACCCAGGTAGGGTCCAGCCAGCGTGCGGCATCGTCCACCATCACCCAGGTAGGGTCTGTGCCCGTGGTGCTGGAGTGTTATAAATATCACCCAGATAGGGTCTGCTGACATTGTCCGTCACCCAGGTAGGGTCCGCGCCCCGCGGTGCTGACATCGTCCATCACCCAGGTAGGGTCTGTGCCCCGTGGTGCTGGAATGTCCGTCACCCAGATAGGGTCTGTGCCCCGCGGTGCTGACATTGTCTGTCACCCAGGTAGGGTCCGCGTCCCGTGGTCATGAAATGGTCCGTCACCCAGGTAGGGTCTGTGCCTCGCGGTGCTGACATTGTCTGTCACCCAGGTAGGGTCTGTGCCCCGCGGTGCTGACATTGTCTGTCACCCAGGTAGGGTCCATGCCCCGCGGTGCTGAAATGGTCCGTCACCCAGGTAGGGTCTGTGCCCCACGGTGCTGACATTGTCCGTCACCCAGGTACGGTCCGCGTCCCATGGTGCTGACATGGTCTCACCCAGGTAGGGTCCGTGCCCTGCGGTGCTGAAATGGCCCGTCACCCAGGTAGGGTCTGAGTGGTGCCCTGTGGGTTCAGGAGGCAGATGGTGACTGTGGCTTTTGTAGCAAAACACAGCCCCTATCCCAGCCGGGGAGACAGGATGAAAACCAAAACCTGCTGCCCACCCGGAGCCCCCTTCCCAAAGGCAGAGGAGAGGGGAACAGTGTTTTTATTTGCTTATTTTATTTTTTAGTTTTTGAGACACAGTCTCCCTCTGTCCCCCAGGCTGGAGTGCAGTAGCGCGATCTCGGCTCACTGCAAGCTCCGCCCCCCGGGTTTACGTCATTCTCCTGCCTCAGCCTCCCGAGTAGCTGGGACTACAGGCGCCCGCCACCTCGCCCGGCTAGTTTTTTTGTATTTTTAGTAGAGACGGGGTTTCACCGTGTTGTCCAGGATGGTCTCGATCTCCTGACCTCGTGATCCGCCCGTCTCGGCCTCCCAAGGTGCTGGGATTACAGGCATGAGCCACCGCGCCTGGCCTGTCTCCTTCTTTCTGCCCCAACTGTAGCCCCTTCCGGTGACAGCCGGAAAGAGTTAGGTAACTGGGGACCTGCAGGGACGTGGGTGAGACCCGTGTCAGGGCGGGGGCAGGTGCCCTTCCCCAGGACAGAGTCTTGCAGGCTCTGCTGAAAGAGGCCAGGTCCCCGGAGATCAGGTTTTCCCAATGCAGGTCCCCGTGGCTGCAGAGCTCCCAGCACCAACAAACAGCTGTTGTTTCAATGTCCACGTCCCCCTGGACAGCAGGACGTGTGGGTGCACAATCCCCGCAGCCCATTTCTGAGCCCCCAGATGCGGCGCTCAGCCAGGCTGACCTGACGGCAGCCTCTGTCCACAGGCGCTGGACGTCACGGAGCAGCTGGATGCCGGGGTGCGGTACCTGGACCTGCGGATCGCTCACATGTTGGAGGGCTCGGAGAAGAACCTGCACTTTGTCCACATGGTGTACACGACGGCCCTGGTGGAGGTGCGGCCGGGCTGAGGGGGACGCAACGGGGAGAGTCAGAGGTGGCCAAGCTCCCGTGGGGACGAAATGGGAGAGCCGGAGGTGGCCAAGCTCCCGTGGGGATGAAACGGCCACATGCAGATCTGGACAGGAGATGCTCGGCCTTTAATGGGATGGGGACGTCACCTGCAGACCCAGACAGGAGACACTGACCCCTGGGAGTCCATGACGGGGATTTCTTTGTTGCTTTTTTTTTTTTTTTTTTTTGAGACGGAGTCTCACTCTGTCGTCCAGGCTGGAGTGCAGTGGCCGCGATCTTGGCTCACTGCAACCTCCGCCTCCCGGGTTCAACCGATTCTCCTGCCTCAGCCTCCCGAGTAGCTAGGATTACAGGCGTGTGCCCCTGTGCCCAGCTAATTTTTCTATTTTTAGTAGAGATGGGGTTTCACCATGTTGGCCAGGATGATCTCGATCTCCTGACCTCAGGTGGTCCGCCCGCCTCCGCCTCCCAAAGTGCCGGGATGACACGTGTCAGCCACTGCGCCCGGCCTTCCCCGGGTTGTTGGAGTCATGCAGGACTCAGTCCGGCCCCCCGCCCTCCCCAGGACACGCTCACGGAAATCTCGGAGTGGCTGGAGCGGCACCCGCGTGAGGTGGTCATCCTGGCCTGCAGGAACTTTGAGGGGCTGAGCGAGGACCTGCATGAGTACCTGGTCGCCTGCATCAAGAATATTTTCGGGGACATGCTGTGTCCTCGTGGGGTGAGGAGGGGGAAGGATGTCCCCACGTCTGTCCCGGGTAGGGGGATCGTGACCCTCAGACTCCGTCTGCCACGCCCCGGGTGTGGGTGCTGTGGTGATTCCTATAGCAGGCGAAGCCGCTGAACGGGACTCCCTGCTCTCCCGCAGTGCGGGGGGGACCCTGGTGAGAACTGCTTCCCGTGACGGGTTTAGAAATGTGTGCAGCGCCAGCCGGGCGCGGTGGCTCACGTCTGTCATCCCAGCACTTTGGGAGGCCGAGACGGGTGGATCATGTGGTCAGGAGATCGAGACCAGCCTGGCCAACATGGTGAAACCCCGTCTCTACTAAAAATACAAAAATCAGCTGGGCGTGGTGGCGGGCGCCTGTCATCCCAGCTACTCAGGAGGCTGAGGTGGGAGAATTGCTTGAACTCGGGAGGTGGAGGTGCAGTGAGCCGAGATTACACCATTGCACTCCAGCCTGGATGACAGAGCGAGACTGTCTCAAAAAAAAAAAAAAAAGTACACACACACACACACACACACACACAAACACAGCATGTTCCTGGCTCCATGGAGCCCCCACCCCCGGTCAGGGTCTGTGTGGTTTCCCCAGGGCTGCCGGCACACGGGAGCCCAGACAGCAGCCTCAGGACGGCAGAGACACGTGCCTGCCCCGCTCTGTACACGGGGCCCCCTGTGTGCACGTCTGTTCCTGGCTACAAATGTTCCTTTTAAAACATTTTTAAAATAAAAAAACACATTTTTTTGATACTGAGTCTCGCTCTGTCTCCCAGGCTGGAGTGCAGGGGCGCCATCTCAGCTCACTGCAGCCTCCACCTCCCGGGTTCGAACGATTCTCCTGCCTCAGCCTCCTGAGTCGCTGGGATTACAGGCGCCCGCCACCAGGCCTGGCTAGGTTTTGTATCTTTAGTAGAGACGGAGTTCCACCATATCAGCCAGGCTGGTCTCAAACTCCTGACTTCAGCTGATCCACCCGCCTCGGCCTCCCAGAGTGCTGGGATGACAGGCGTGAGCCACCGCGGCCGGCCAGAATATCGTTTTCGGTTTATACTCACATGTTGGGCCGTCCTCCCTCTCCGGCGTCCCCACATCCCGGCCTTCCTCTCTCCTGGGTGCCCCCCGTGTCCCCGGCTCTCCTCTCTCCCCCGCGCCCCTTAACTCTGGTCCCTTGCAGGAGCTGCCGACGCTGCGGCAGCTGTGGTCCCGGGGCCAGCAGGTCATCGTCTCCTATGAGGACGAGAGCTCCCTGGGCCGGCACTGCGAGCTGTGGCCAGGAATCCCCTACTGGTGGGGAAACACGGTGAAGACCGAGGCCCTCATCCGCTACCTGGAGACCATGAAGAGCTGCGGCCGCCCAGGTACCAGGGCGCGCCTCGTGGGGGTGGATTCCACACGGCCTCCTGGACGCCCTGCTGGAGGCCGGGTCCACGTGGATCTGCCTTCACTTTGACGTGAAAACCATTTAAAAGGAATCCAGGGGCTGGGCGTGGTTAAGCCTGCACCTGTAATCCCGGCACTTTGGGAGGCTGAGGCGGGCGCTGTTTCGTGTGTGGCGTGAAGAGATCACCGCACAGGCTGGTGTTGATTTCACCTGGGTGCAGGCGGGCTGAGTCCGAAAAAGGAGTCAGCGAAGGGTGCTGGGATTGCCATTCGTTCTTAGAGGTCTTGGGACAGGCCGTGAATCTCACAAAGTACTTTCTCATAGGTGGGGAGAATTACGAAGAAAATTCTTAAGGGTGGGGGAGATGATAAAGAACATAGATCAGTTAGGGTGGGGCAGGAACAAATCACAGTGGTGGAACGTCATCCGTTAAGGCGATTTTCACTTCTTTTGTGGATCTTCAGTTGCTTCAGGCCATCGGGATGGGTACGTGCAGGTCACAGGGGATACGATGGCTTAGCTTGGGCTCAGAGGCCTGACAGGCGGATCACCTGAGGTCGGGAGTTCGAGACCAGCCTGACCAATGTGATAAAACCTCATGTTTACTTAAAAAGCACCCAGGACTGGCCGGGCACGGTGGCTCACGCCTGTCATCCCAGCACTTTGGGAGGCCGAGGCAGGTGGATCACAAGGTCAGGAGATCGAGAGCAGCCTGGCTAACACAGTGAAACCCCGTCTCTCCTAAAAATACAAAAAACTAGCCGGGCGAGGTGGCGGCGCCTGTGGTCCCAGCTACTCGGGAGGCTGAGGCTGGAGAAATGCTTGGACCTGGGAGGCGGAGTTTATAGTGAGCCGTGATTGCACCACTGCGCTCCAGCCTGAGCCACAAAGTGAGACTCCATCTCAAAACCAAACAGAAAATACAAAAATTAGCTGGGCGTGGTGGCGGGCACCTGTCATCCCAGCTACTCAGGAGACTCAGGCAGGAGAATCGCTTGAACCCAGGAGGCGGAGGTTGCAGTGAGCCGAGATCACACCATTGCACTCCAGCCTGGGTGACAGGGTGAGACTCTCTCTCAAAAACAAAACAAAACAAAACTTCTGGGGTCAAGCTGAGTTGTGCCATTTAAAATCATGAATTTTGGCCAGGAACAGTGGCTCACGCCTGTCATCCCAGCAGTTTGCGAGGCTGAGGCAGGTGGATTACTTGAGATCAGGAGTTTGCAACCGGTCTGGTGAAACCCCATCTCTAGTAAAAATACAAAAAAATTAGCCGGGCGAGGTGGCGGGTGCCTGTATTCCCAGCTCCTCGGGAGGCTGAGGCAGGAGAATGGCGTGGACCTGGGAGGTGGAGCTTGCAGTGAGCCGAGATCACACCACTGCACTCCAGCCCGGGTGACAGAGTGAGACTCTGTCTTGGGGAAAAAAAAAAAAGGTAACTTTCTAGTATGTGAATTTCAGCACAATTTTTGTAAGAGAGCCACCGAGGGGCTGTGAGGTGCAGGCAGCACTGGCAGGAGCCCGAGGGTTGGAGGGAGGAAGGTCCTCCCCGAGGGGATGGTGGCAGGTGTGGCCGTCTCGGTCCTGCTGCACCCCACGGGGTCAGCGTAAAACCCAGCTCACCAGCCGGGCAAAGGAGCAGGTTTTGTCAACTTGGTCTCTCGCCCTCACACGTGAACCAGGTTAGAGACTTCACGGATGTCTCTTTTTCTTTTTTTAAACGGAGTCTTGCTCTTGTCGCCCAGGCTGGAGTGGAGTGGCGCGATCTCGGCCCACTGCAACCTCCGCCTCCTGGGTTCAAGCGATTCTCCTGCTTCAGCCTCCCACCACGCCCAGCTAATTTTTTTATTTTTACATTTTGAGTAGAGACGGGGTTTCTCCATGTTGGTCAGGCTGGTCTCGAACTCCCTACCTCAGTTGATCTGCCTGCCTCAGCCTCCCAGAGTGCTGGGATTACGGGCGTGAGCCACCACTCCTGGCCTTTTTTTTTTTTTTTTTTTTTGAGACAGCGTCTTGCTCTGTCACCCAGGCTGGAGTGCAGTGGCGCGATCTCGGCTCATTTTAACCTCCGCCTCCCGGGTTCAAGCGATTCTCCTGCCTCAGCCTCCTGAGCTGGAATTACAGGCACCTGCCACCACCACGCCTGGCTAATTTTTTGGTGTATTTTTACTAGAGAAAGGGTTTCAGCCGGTTGGTCAGGCTGGTCTTGAACTCCTAACCTTACATGATCCCCTGGCCTCAACCTCCCAAAGCGCTGGGGTGACAGGCGTGAGCCACTGTGCCCAGCCTAGAAATAACCGTTAAAAACCACTCATGGAACTTGGCCATAAATGTCTCTTGACTCTGCTGTCGCTGGCCGTGGAGTCAGTCCAGCTGGTCAACATGGGCACTGGAACGGACGTCTGGGGCAGCTTCTGCAAACACAGCTTGCAGTCCGCATCCCTCTGCCCCCAGAGATTGTGGCTCAGCAGATCTCCGTGGAGCCCGAACGTGTGCATTTCTAATTATTGCAGAGGCTCCACTTAGAGAATCACTGGTCAATGTCAGCCCTCTCTGTAAGCCTCATAACAGACGGCACAGACTTAGTGCCTCAGACAACAGCATTCTTCTCTGTGTATCACATGGGATAGGAACGTGGACATCTCTGGGGCCATTATTCCGTCTCCCACATGGGGATTAGGACGTGGACGTCTTTGGGGCCATTATTCCGTCTCCCACCTTTCTGTGTGGGTCACATGGAGTAGTAAAACGTGGACATCTCAGCCATTGACCTCGCTTCCTGGCTGGTGGGGAGCCAGGACGGGACGCCTTTGGGGCCATTATTCCGCCTCCACATGGGGATAGGACGCGGACGCCTTTGGGGCCACGGTTCCGCCTCCTCCATTGCGGGGATTAGGACGGGACGCCTTTGGGGGCCGCTATTCCGCCTCCCACGGGATTAGTATCGCGACGCCTTCCATTATCTGCCTCCCACACGCGGGATTAGACGTGGGACTGGGGCCATTATTCCGCTCCACGTGGATTAGGACGGGACGCCTGGGGGCCATTATTCCGTCTCCCCCACGGGATTAGACGTGACGCCTTTTGGGGCTATTCCTGCCTCCCACGGGGATTAGGACGTGCGGGACGCCTTTGGGGCTAAATATTATCTGCCTCCACGGGGATTGTGGACGTGACTTTCCTTTGGGGGCCATATTCCGCTCCTCCCCTCCCACATGGGGGGATTAGGACGGGACGTGCCTTGGGGCCATTATTCCAGCTTCCCACGGGGTTAGGACGTGGGACGCTCTTTGGGGCTGGGCCATTCCGTCTCCCACGTAATACAGGGGATTAAGATGTGGACCTTTCCCCGGCCATTGGCTATCCGCCTCCACGTGATTAGACTTTGGACGTCTTTTTGGGGCCATTATCTCACTTCCCACGTGATTAGGACGGGACGTCTTTGGGGCCATTATTCCGTCTCCCAATGTGGTGGATGAGGACGGACGTCTTTGGGGCCATTATTCCGTCTCCCACGTGGGATTAGGACGTGAACATCTTTGGGGTTGTTCACCACCCACCACGTGTTTGTTTGTTTTTCTGGGGGGACGGAGTTTCGCTCGTTGCCCAGGCTGGAGTGCAGTGGTGCGATCTAGGCTCACTGCAACCTCTGCCTCCCCGGTCCAAGCAATTCTCCTGCCTCAGCCTCCCGAGTAGCTGGGATTACAGGCACCCACCATCACGCCCGGCTGTTTGTATTTTTAGTAGACACGGGGTTTCTCCATGTTGGCCAGGCTGGTCTCGAACTCCCGACCTCAGGTGATCTCCCCGCCTCGGCCTCCCAAAGCACTAGGATGACAGGCGTAAGCCACCGCGCCCGGCACCACCCACCACCGAAGTTCCCCTGATTTCCTTGTTGGATGTGATGCTTTCCAACTGAAATTCCTGAGATCTGAACCTCCAGCCATGTGACTAGGAGGGATCAACGGGCAGGCGAGGCACCCGACGGTGTAAACCCGTCCCCCACCGCCCTGTTGCAGGAGGCTTGTTCGTGGCCGGCACCAACCTCACGGAGAACCTGCAGTACGTCCTGGCGCACCCGTCCGAGTCCCTGGAGAAGATGACGCTGCCCAACCTTCCCCGGCTGAGCGCGTGGGTCCGAGAGCAGCGCCCGGGGCCGGGCTCACGCTGCACCAACGTCATCGCGGGCGACTTCATCGGAGCGGACAGCTTCGTCGGGGACGTCATCGCTCTCAACCAGAAGCTGCTTTGGTGCTGACGTGGGGGTTCAGGACGTGGCGGCTGAAGTTTCACCCCCTACTTCCAAGTACCGTGACTTTGTTGGGGCCAAATATTGGGGATCATAGGACCGATAATATGTTTTATTTTTCTTCCTTTTTTTTTTTAAAATAGAGATGGGGTGGTCGGGCGCGGTGGCTCACGCCTGATCCCAGCACTTTGGGAGGCCGAGGCGGGCAGATCACAGGTTCAAAAGTTCAAGACCAGTCTCACCAACATGGTGAAACCCCATCTCTACTAAAAAGACAAAAATGAGCCGGGTGTGGTGGCAGGTGCCTGTCATCCCAGCTCCTTGGGAGGCTGAGGCAGGCGAATCGCTGGAACCCGGGAGGCGGAGCTTGCATTGAGCGGACATCCTGCCACCGCAACCCAGCCTGGGTCACAGAGCGAGACTTATCTCAAAAAAAAAAAAAAAAAAAATAGAGATGGGCTCTCGCTCTGTTGGCCCGGTTGCTCTGGAACTCCTGGCCTCAAGTGATCCTCCCACCTCAGCCTCCCAAAATGCTGGGATGACAGGCAGGAACCACCATGGCAGCCCGAAATATGTGTTTTTATTTCTGTATTCTCCTTGCTGTGGCGTCTGGACCCCTTGCAGATCCAGGGAAACACTGACCTCCCACAGCTCACTAATTACGAACAGGACAACCACCCACTTAGGGGCCAGCCTGCCCTGTGCAAGCCAGCCAGCCCCTCGGCTGCTCTCACACCAAAGCCTAGTATATGTATGTGTGTATATGTGTGTGTGCGTGTGTATATGCATATATATGTGTATGTGTGTATGTATATATAGTGTGTGTATATACGTGTGTATGTATATGTGTGTGTGTATATAGTATGTATATACATATGTGTGTGTGTATGTATATGTGTGTATATACATATGTGTGTGTATAGTGTGTATATACGTGTGTGTGTATATATGGTGTGTGTGTATATATGTGTGTATATACATATATATGTGTATATATGTGTGTGTGTATATATATATATTTTTGAGACAGAGTTTCGCTCTTGTTGCCCAGGCTGGAGCGTAGTGGCACCATCTTGGTTCACTGCAACCTCCACCTCCTAGGTTCAAACGATTCTCCTGCCTCAGCCTCCCGAGTAGCTGGGATTGTAGGCACCCGCCACCACGTCCAGCTAATTTTTGTATTTTTAGTAGAGACGGGGTTTCACCATGTTGGCCAGGCTGGTCTCGAACTCCTGACCTCAGGTGATCCACCCGCCTCAGCCTCCCAAAGTGCTGGGATGACAGCCGTGAGCCACCGCGCCCGGTCGCCAGTATTTCTTTAGTTTTTAGGGACAGGGTCTTGCTCTGTCACCCAGGCTGGAGTGCAGTGACGCAGTCACAGCTCACTCAGCCTCAACCCCCGGGGCTCAAGTGATCCTCTCACCTCAGCCTCCCGAGTCGCTGGGACTCCAGGGGCACACCCCCATGCCCGGCTAATTTTTGTATTTTTGGTAGAGACGGGATTTCTCCATGTTTCACAATGTGGTCTCAAATTCCCAAGAGTTTTGCTCTTGTTGCCCAGGCCGGAGTGCAGTGGTGCGATCCCGGCTCACTGCAACCTCCGCCTCCCGGGTTCCAGGAATTCTCCTGCCTCAGCCTCCCGAGTAGCTGGGACTACACGCTCGTACCATCACACCCGGCTAATTGTTTTGTATTTTCAGTAGAGACAGGGTTTCACCGTGTTGCCCAGGCTGGTCTTGAACTCCTGACCTCAAGTGATCTGCCCGCCTTGGCCTCACAAAGTTGCTGGGATGACGGGCGAGAGCCACCACGCCCGGCCTATACGTCATTTTCTACATGTCGCTTGTTGGAGCTGCTGGTTCAACTTCTCAGCCACGGAGGACAGCAGCCACCATTTTTCTTCCCCTTTCCCGAGGAGGTCTCCCGTTTATTTCATGGTGTAACAGCAGGCGTCAGAATTTCTCAGGATGGTCCTCAAGAGGGTTATCCAGTCCATGCTGGAATAGGTTCTCTTTGGGACCTAATGACTCATTTTCCAAAAACCCGCTTCTGCTTTTGGTACCCGGTTGCCACCGGGGAAATGGGGAAATGAAGGTGCCCCAGACCCAGAAACACGCAGTCCTGGGGCGCACCCAGCGGCTACGTCAGCCCCACGACTCTGCTGGATCAGGGCTCCGGAAGGGCCTGCGGAGACGCCGAAGTTGCAGGGAACCTCTCTGACTTCCACCGGCCCCGAATCCCCATCGGGAAACCCTGGGGTCTGTCGGGAGCGTTCCACACCACCCCCGAATTCATACAGATCGTTTCAATCAACGAAGACAAAGTCAAGTTTGTGTATGACTTTGGTCACCACCAGTGCAGCCAACACAGATTTGGCGGCTTTCAGGATGGCAGGCGGGAGGCGTCTTTAGAAAATGTTCATTCAGGCCAGGCGCAGTGGCTCACGCCTGTCATCCCAGCACTGTGGGAGGCTGAGGTGGGCGGATCACAAGGTCAGGAGTTCGAGACCAGCCCGGCCAACAGGGTGAAACCCCGTCTCTACTAAAATACAAATATTAGCCGGGCATGGAGGCAGGTGCCTGTAGTCCCAGCTACTCAGGAGGCTGAGGCAGGAGAATCACTGGAACCTGGGGGGCAAAGGTTGTGGTGAGCTGAGATTGCGCCACTGCACTCCAGCCTGGGTGACAGTCCGAGACTCCAAGTCAAAACAAAAAAAAAAAAAAAAAAAAAGGAAAAGTTAATTCATTGGGCACCTTTTTCAGGTCAGAGGTTTTAAAAAATCAAGTTGTGAGGCTGAGTATGGTGGCGGGCACGGTGGCTCACGCCTGTCATCCCAGCACTTTGGGAGGCCGAGGCAGGTGAATCACAAGGTCAGGAGTTCAAGACCAGCCTGGCCAACATGGTGAAATCCTCTCTACTAAAAACACAAAAAACTAGCTAGGTATGGTGATGTGCACCTGTAATCCCAGCTACTCAGGAGGCTGAGGCAGGAGAATCACTGGAACTCAGGAGGCGGAGGTTGCAGTGAGCCGAGATCGCACCACTGCACTCCGGCCTGGGCAATAGTCCAAGACTCTGTCTCCAAAAAAAAAAAATGTTAATTCAGGCCGGGCGTGGTGGCTCACGCCTGTAATCCCAGCACTTTGGGAGGCCGAGGCCGGTGGATCACAAGGTCAGGAGTTTGAGACCAGCCTGACCAACATGGTGAAATCCCGTCTCTACTAAAAATACAAAAATTAGCTGGGTGTGGTGGCAGGTACCTGTTATCCCGGCTCCTCAGGAGGCTGAGGCAGGAGAATCGCTTGAACCTGGGAGGCGGAGGTTGCAGAGACCTGAGATCGCACCACTGCACTCCAGCCCGGGCGACAGAGCGAGGCTGTCTCAAAACAAAACACACCAGGCGTTTTGTTTTCCTGTTGGAGACGGCGAATGTACGTGTTAACGGCTGGACGGCCTGGCCACCCGCAGGTGAAATCCTCTCTGCATCTCTTAGCGGATGGGCTGTGGCACACGTCCTGGTCTGGTTTGAAGTTTCTTCTTTAATAAAACTCTTTTATTCCCTTCTACTTTTGTGGAACGGTTCTCTCTGCTGCTGGGAAACCTCATTTTTAGTCATTTCCCTGACGCCACCATGGGAAATGAGGCCGTGTGTGAACACAGCCGGGCCGAGGGGCCATTCGGTGCCCACCAGGGCCACGGCTCACGGCAAGTGCAGGAGGAACTAGAAATGCCGCTCACGGAAGTCAAAACACAGGTTTAATGTCCTGCTACGGAAACATTCCGAGGGGAGCCAGGTCACGGCAGGCACCGAGGGCCCGCTGGAATCGTGTGGAGTGGACGCTCGGGCGAGACCCGCTTTGGGGCGCCGTGGCCGTGACACCAGCCTGCGCGTTCATCCCAGCAAATGGCTGGGAACAAGGCGGGCCCAGAGCCAGCGAGGGGGCACCCGGCTGCACCCGACACACAGCAGCAACGCCACAGCTCCCCAGGCCTCCGCGGGGGTCCGTTCATCCTGGAAAGAGCTTCCGGAATTTGCCGTAGGCGGAGTCGCTGATGATGACCGTCACGTCGGCCGCCCCGTCCTCAGGGATCACGTCCACGTCCTGAACCGTGGCCTCCTTATACAGCCAGCTGCGGACAGACAAGCGTTGTACGGAAACAAGCAGAACCTGTAAGTATTTACTTAGTTTCACGGTAAATGATGCTAACAAGAGCTTAGCCCAAACTATTCATTCATCACACTGTTCTGTTTCCCTTCGTTTTTTTTTGTAGGACAGAGTCTCGCTCTGTCGCCCAGGCTGGAGGGCAGGGGTGCGATCTTGGCTCACTGCAACCTCCGCCTCCCAAGTTCATGCCATTCTCCTGCCTCGGCCTCTCGAGTAACTGGGACTACAGGTGCCCGCCACCTCGCCCGGCTCGTTTTTTGTATTTTTTAGTAGAGACGGGGTTTCTCTCTGTTAACCAGGATGGTCTCAATCTCCTGACCTCATGATCCACACGCCTCGGCCTCCCAAAGTGCTGGGATGACAGGCGTGAGCCACTGCGCTCGTTTTTTTTTTTTTAAGATGGGGTCTTGCTCTGTAGTCCAGGCTGGAGTGCAGTGGTGCGGTCATGGCTCACGGCAGCCTCAACCTCCTGGGCTCAAGCCATCCTCCCACCTCAGCCTCCCAAGTAGGTGGGACGACAGGTGTGTGCCTCCATCAGCTGCTATTCTTTTTTTGAGACGGAGTCTCCGTCTGTCGCCCAGGCTGCAGGGCAGTGATGCAATCTCAGCTCACTGCAACCTCGGCCTTCTGGGTTCCAGCAACTCTCCTGCCTCGGCCTCCTGAGCAGCTGGGACGAAAGGCGCCCGCCACCAGCCTGGCTGAGTTTTGTGTTTTTACTGGAGATGGGGTTTCACCTAGTGGGCCAGGCTGGTTCCTCGAACTCCTGACCTCGGGTGATCGGCCTGCGTCAGCGTCAGCCTCCCGAAGTGTTGGGATTTTACAGGCGTGAGCCACCGTGCCTGGCGTAACTGTTTATTCTCTGTAGAGATGGGATCTCACTGTGCTGCCCAGGCTGGCCTCAAACTCCTCAGCTCAAGCAATCCTCCTGCCTTGGCCTCCCAAAGTCTTGGGGTTACAGGCCTGTGCCGCTGCATCCAATTCGAGCTCCCTTGCTTATCGGTAGGGAGACCTACATCCCTCGACTGTCAGCACAGGTTAGGCACCTGTTGTATGCAGTCACAAACATCCATTTGACAGAAACCCATTCATCGCGTCTGGACATCCTAAAGCTCTCGGGGGATCCCACAGCTCTTTTCGTACCCACCAAAAGCTCATCTCAGAGGCAGAGACAGGCGCATCCACAGCACCATCCTGTCTCCTGCCCCGGCAGGCTGCTCACCTGAGCTGGGCCCCGGCGAGCCTCACGCGGAGAGTGAGGATCTGTCTCCCGGTCGCCTTCAAAACGGCCGCATCGAGCTCAGCCTTCAGCTCCTGGAGCCCGTGGCCCAGCAGGGCAGACACGGGCACGGCGTTCGGTTCCGTGGGGCTGTACCTGCCGGGGTGGGGATGCCACAGGCCCCGCTCAGCCTCAGGGCGGCCGGACGAAATCAGGGTCCTGCCCAGGAGTCCGCTGCCCACGGGGTACAGCCTGGGGCCACTCCCTGTGTCTCGGCTGCCACCGCTGTGGGTCAGAGGAGGACACGGGGCATCTCCCCACCTGGCTCCAGTGCATGCAGGGGAAGGAGACGCTTGCAAGCACCAGGGCCGCACTCACCCGGGCACGAGGTCCACCTTGTTGTGAACCTCCACCATGGAGTCTAGGAGCGGGGCGGGCAGCTGCAGGCTGTGCAGTGTGGACAGAACGCTGCGTTTCTGGAGCTCCGCCTCGGGGTGGCTCACGTCCCTCACGTGCACGATGAGATCCTGTGGGCCGGGCCGCGCGGTCAGAGCTGCGAAGCTCCTGGTGTCCAACCCCAAGCTTGCAGACCGGCCCGGGAGAGGGGCTGGCACGAGCTCCCCACGACAGGCTGGGAGTGGGAGGTACCCCTGTGTGCAGGCCGCTCGGACACCCCAGGACCGGCCTTCCACGCCACAGGCAGCAGCTCTGCACCCCCAGACCCACGCACGAGGGGGTGCCGTGTATGATGACACCACCCCCCGCCCACCCAGTGGGTCTTCAGAGCTTTGGGCAGCTTCATCCCCCCGTCAGATCTTTCGTCTTCAAAGGATGCTTTTTCTCGCATTTAAAACCTCTTACGGGCAGGTTCCTGATACAAAATATGAAAAACGCAGGGAGGAAAACAGCCGTGTCTACTTCTACCACGTATATGGCCAGAGTGTCCACGTCTCTTTTCTGTTTGTTTGGATGCATTTAATACAAATAATGTTTTTCCTGCAACCCCAGCACTGTGGGAGGTGGCTTGAGGCAAGAAGCTGGAGACCGGCCTGGGCAAGAGAGTGAGACGGTTTGGGCACGAAGTACAAACATGAGCCAGGCCTGGTTGTGCGCCCCTGTGGTCTCCGCTACTGAGGAGGCTGAGGTGGGAGGATCGCTGGAGCCCAGGGGGTCGAGGCTTCCTGTTTCTGCACGGGCTCACGGCGGCACGAACACGGCCCTGAGTGTTGGTGAGGCTGGGGCCACCGCTCAGCCTCTGCCCGGGGCATGGCAGGCTTGGGGGACACTCGGTCTCAGCCCCAGGAGGCAGGGGTTGTTCTGGCCCCGAGTTCTGTGGGTGTCCAAGTGCTGGGTCCCTGGCTGTGTGTTTCCGAACGCCCAGCCCTTCGTTGTGTGGGTGTCCGAGTGCCCGACCCCTGGCTGACTGGGTGTCCGAGAGTCCAGCTCCTGGACTGAGTGGGTGTCCGAGCACCCGGCCCCTGGCTGACTGGGTGTCCGAGCGCCCGGCCCCTGGGCCGAGTGGGTGTCCGAGCGCCCGGCCCCTGGCTGACCGGGTGTCCGAGCGCCCGGCCCCTGGGCCGAGTGGGTGTCCCAGTGCCCCGCCCCTGGACCGAGTGGGTGTCCGAGCGCCCGGCCTGTGGCTGTGTGGGTGTCCGAGCGCCCGACCCCTGGACCGAGTGGGTGTCCGAGCACCCGGCCCCTGGCTGACTGGGTGTCCGAGTGCCTGGCCCCTGGGCCGAGTGGGTGTCCGAGCGCCCGGCCCCCGGCGTTCCCGCACTCACCGAGTGAGCCACGTCTTCCAGGGTGGCGGAGAAGGACTCGATGAGGCCGTGCGGCAGCTGGGAGAGGAAGCCGATGGTGTCCACGTACAGGACGGTCATGCGTGACGGCAGCGCACCCGCGTGGGCCGTGACGTCCAGCGTGGCAAACAGCTGGTCCCGCGGCCGGATGGCGGCATCGCCCGTCAGTGCCTTGATCAGCGTGGTCTTCCCTAGGAGGGCGTGGAGGTCAGGGCGCTGCAGAGACCCTCGTGTCCCACCCCTGACGCGGCACCCGGGCCCTCCGAATGGAGACCACGGCACCCTCCTGGGTGGCCGCACCCCGGGCTACACGGTCCCCAAGCCCCTCGGGCACCCCCGGGCCGGACACGACGCGTGGGACGAAGCCACCGTCGCTGCTCTCAGGCCGATGCAGCAGGGCCGCGGTGTGGACACGGGAGCTGGTGGTGTAGACCATGTGTGTGAAGGCGTGGATGGGAGTGGGGTCGTCTGGGTAGATCTGGCAATGGCGTAGATGGTGGGATGGTAGAGAGGGGGTGGTGCTGCTGTGGCTGGGAGGATGGTGTAGACGAAGGGGATGCTGTGGTGTAGATGGGTGGATTGTGTAGACGGGGTGGTGGTATAGACGAGGCAGTGGTGATGGTGTAGACAGGACGGTGTAGACAGAGGAGAGGTGATGGTGTAGACGGGAGGACGGTGTAGACGAAGGGAACGCTGTGGTGTAGACGGGTGGACTATGTAGACAGGGTGGTGGTACAGACGGGGCAGGGGGTGACTGTGTAGACAGGAGGATGGTGTAGATGGAGGGAAGCCTGTGGTGTAGACAGGAGGACGGTGTAGACAGAGGAGAGGTGATGGTTTAGACAGGAGGACGGTGTAGACGGAGGGAACGCTGTGGTGTAGACGGGTGGATTGTGTAGACAGGTGGTGGTATAGACGAGGCAGTGGTGATGGTGTAGACAGGACGGTGTAGACAGAGGGAAGCTGATGGTGTAGACAGGAGGACGGTGTAGACGGAGGGAAGCCTGTGGTGTAGACGGGGTGGTAATGCTCTGGATAGTGGGACGGGGTAGACGGCGTCCTCACCACGGCCCTGGTGTACCCCACCAGAGAGACCACGGGGAGCCCCTCTCCTGGGCAAGTTCTCGCCGCAGCTGGTGCACCCCACGCGGACACCGGGGAACCCCTCCCTGGGCGAGTCCTCCCTGGGGTGCTCACCGCAGTTGGTGTACCCCACCACGGAGACCACGGGGAACTCCCGCCTCGTCCGCTGCTGCCGGAGGAGGTGCCTCTTCTTACGAAGCCTGTCCAGGGCCTTCCGGATCTTGGCCTCCTTCTCTCTCAGGAGACGCTGCTGCACCTGCATGAAGGACTCTCCTAAAAGCAGCCAAGATGGGGAGGCGTTGAGCCACGCAAGAGCAGGGGGTGCCGCCGAGGGTCCGCGAGGGCCCGGGCATCTGGGGGCCCGGCTGCCTTCCCCAGCAGCGGCCCCGACGCTGCCCCGTTCCATGACAAAGCGCTCTGCTCGGCGGAACGGGATCTCGCCTCCGCGCGTCCACCCTGTGAGGCCGACGAGGGCTTCCCGTGACTCGGGGAGAAAGGAAAGGCCTGAGCACTACGGAGGCCTCCGACCGGGGCCCGGCCCGGGACGTCACTGGGAGTGGGGCTCAGGGACGCCCCTTCCACATCCGAAGTCCCAGAACCTGGGAATGGGACCTGATTTGGAAATATGCTCTTTGTAGGATCTCAAGATGCCACCCTAGGTTAGGGTGGGCCCTAAGGCAATGACCTGTGTCCTAAGAGGCAGAGACTGGAGTGATGCGGCCACAAGCCCAGGGACGCCGGGAGCCCCCAGGAGCTGGGAGAGGCAGAAGGAGCCTCCCCAAGACCCCCCGGAGGGAACTGGATACAATTGTAGTGGACGGAACTGTGGTCGTCCTAAAAGCTCTGTCCACATCCTAATTCCCGGTGAATGGGACCTTATTCGGAAATACGGTGTTTGTCCTAAGTGAAGGATCTAGAAATGAGATGATCCTGGATTAGGGCAGGCCCTGAATGCAATGACAGGTGTCCTCCTAAGAGACAGAAGAGGAGACACAGACACAGAGGAGGAGGCCACGTGGAGATGGAGGCAGAGACTGGAGTGATGCGGCCACACGCCCAGAGACGCCTGGAGCCCCCAGGAGCTGGGAGACGCAGAAGGAGCCTCTGGAGGGAGCGCGGCCCTGTCCTCACCTTGATCTCAGACTTTTGGTCTCCAGGATGGGAGAGCATAGGTTTCTGCTGTTTAAATCCCCGGTTTGTGACTCCCTATTTGGGCACAACCTCAAAGAACCACCATCTTCTCCTATCTCCTCAAACGCTACCAGGAGACGAGCCCCCAGCCGGCCCCCACCCTGTCGGCATCTTCCAGGGCTGAGGGTGGCTGCCGCGGACGGATGACCGCATTCCCGGGACGCCCTGGGACGTGGCCGAGTTACCTGACCCCATGATGTAGCGCGAGCCGGCTCCCCGGTGCAGGTGGGCGACGTCCCGTTTCAGGTTCGACCTGGAGTGGGAACGGGAGTACATCGCGCTCTGCGGACAACGTCTCCCTCCCAGCAGAGGTCGCGGCGAAGGTGAAGGGGGCACTGAGCTGGGGCCTCCGGGCGGAAGGGAGGGGCTGGCGCTGGGGCCCCCGCTCTGCGTGTAGCTCAGACACTGTGACTAACGTGTGTCCCAGGCCGAGGGGACCTACTTCGCCGGGAGCTGGGGGTGGGCGGTCGGGGAAAGCGAGGCCATCAGGCCCCGGAGAGAGTGACCCCACGGCGCTTTTCTTTTTTTTTTGAGACGGAGTCTTGTTCTGTCGTCCAGTCTGGAGTGCAGTGGCGCGATCTGGGCTCACTGCAAGCCCCGCGTCCCGGGTTCACGCCATTCTCCTGCCTCAGTCTCCCGAGTAGCCGGGACTACAGGCGCCCGCCACTAAGCCCAGCTCATTTTTTGTATTTTTAATAGAGACAGGGTTTCACCATGTTAGCCATGCTGGTCTCGCACTCGTGACCTCGTGATCCGCCTGCCTCGGCCTCCCAAAGTGCTGGGATGACAGGCGCGAGCCACCACGCCCGGCCCCCCACGATGCTTTTCTTCCTCACCTACCCCCAGAACGACCTACAGGTGAGTGTACAGAACGGAGGGGCCCGGGTACCCCGTCACGATACCTGTGCAGCGGGATCTCCGCCAGGGCCACCTGAAGCCGGGCCTCCCTCGTGCGGGCGTTGCACCGGAAAATGTGCAGGACGACTGTGAAGCGGTCAAACACCTCCACGCCCCAGGCGGCTTCCAGTTCTTTCTACAAAAGGAGAGAGCAACAGAGAAGCCGCAGGGGAAGGCCAGGCGCTGGGGGCCAACCCGAGAGGAAGGAGGACGTCTGTCACGCCTTAACTCCACCGTGTCCCCATCGGTCCCCCCCCGGCGGGACACTGTGGCGTCCACTCCTTCATCACGCGGAATACGGGACAAACACAGCCAGCCACGTTCTGTGGTACCTTGGTCGGGGCTGCCATCCTCTCCACGTTCAGGAAGACGCACGTGATGTCTGGAGACCCTCGGATCTTTTCTAACAGAAAGAGGGGGTCCCGTCAGAGGCCGGCCGTCCAGGTCCCTGGACTGCGGGATGAGCCCACGATGCCCTTTGGAGTGCCCAGGTCACAGGCGTCCGCGACTTCCTCAGCACGAGACCCAGGATCCAGGAAGTCGGTGTGAGAGAGAGGGTGTGTCTAGGGCTGTGTGTCTCACACACATACACATGTAGACGGTGAAGACATCCTGGCAGGGACACACACACAGTAAACACATCCCAACAGGGACAGACACAGACACGCACACACTGACATGGGGACACAAAGGCATGTCGTTGTGAGTATTGCCACTAGACACAAACATATCCCAACAGGGACAGACACACACACACACAGACACACACATAAACATATCCTAACAGGGACAGGACAATAGACACGCACACAATAGACTTAGATATAAATATATCTGCAACAGGGACAGACACAGACACACAAAGACACACACAGTAAAACACATCCCAACAGGGACAGACACAGACACGCACACACAGAGAGACACACAGACACAGTAAACACATCCCAACAGGGACAGATACACACACAATAGAGACACACACAGTAAAACACATCCCAACAGGGACAGACACAGACACACACACACACACAGAGACACACACACAGAAAACACATCCCAACAGGGACAGACACAGACACACACACACACAGAGACACACACACAGTAAACACATCCCAACAGGGACACACACACACACACACACACAGAGAGACACACAGACACACAGTAAACACATCCCAACAGGGACAGACACAGACACACACACAGTAAACACATCCCAACAGGGACAGACACAGACACACACACAGTAAACACATCCCAAATAGGACAGACACACACAGACACACACACACACAGTAAAACACATCCCAACAGGGACAGACACACACAGACACAGACACACAGTAAACACATCCCCCAACAGGGACAGACACAGACACGCACACACAGAGACACACACAGACACAGTAAACACATCCCAACAGGGACAGACACAGACACACACAAAGACACACACAGTAAACACATCCCAACAGGGACAGACACACACACACACACACAGTAAACACATCCCAACCGGGACAGACACTGACACACACAGAGACACACACACAGACACACACACAATAAACACATCCCCACAGGGACACAGACACACAGAGACACACAGACACACACAAAGTAAACACATCCCAGCAGGGACAGACACACACACACACAGACACAGACATTGCAGACACAGACACACACAGAGACACACACAGTAAACACATCCCAGCCGGGACACACACACACAGACACATACAGAGACACACGCAGTAAACACATCGTGACGGACAGACACGCACACACGGTGAGCACATTCTGACAAGGACACACAGACACACACATGCACGGTGGACACAGCCGGTGGAACACACAGACACACAGTGTGACACATCCCGACAGGGACACACACAGACACACATGCACAGTGGACACATCCCAGTGTGGACAGACACACAGATGGTGAACACATTCTGGTGGGACACACACACAGACGTGGTGAACACATCCAGGCGGAGATGACATGCATCTGAGTCAGGCAGGGACGCGGACCCCCCACCTGGGCAAGTGACCCAGGGAAACCGACCCCCACCTGGGCAAGTGAGCAGCATCTTCCCCAGTCTGCACTGTAAGCCGGATGGTCAAAAACCTGGGAAGCGCAAGGATCCCGTGCAGGACCCCGGCCTTAGAGACTACGCACGGGGGCCACCCAGAGGGAGGATTTGGCCGGGGGCTGCAGGGGCAGGTGGGGTTACAGCCGGTCCACTGCCCACCCTGTTTGTTGGACTCTATACACTGCCCCGACCTAACCTTCACCAGTTTAAATCTCTCCAGGGCCGGGTGTGAGTCTCGACACAGGTGCAGCCTCAGCGTCCTCCGACTCCCACTGGTGTGTGCTCCTGGCTCACCTGGGCAGCCCAAGAGGCCGTTTCCCCCCTGGGCCAGCGAGACCCCTGTCCTTCAGTGCGTCTGGGTCGAATGTGCTCGGCAGCAGCGGACAGGAAAGGAGGTTTGCGGAAGGAGCAGGTCTGGACGGACCCACCTGTCAGGTGTTGGAAGTTTCCTTTGCCGAAGACGAGCTTGCTGTCCGGGGATTTGGTGGATACGACCATTGTCTGCACCACGGACCAGCCGTCCAGCGTGTGCACCAGCGCTGTAGCCTCCGCCACCTGCCACTCGGCTGCGGGGACACAGGGGCCACCGTGAGAGATGCTTCTGTTCGGGGTAGGCCCGGGGCCCCCGTCCACACCTGCCCAGGGAGCCCTCCTGTCCTTGAGACAATGTCCCCTGAGAACGCACCCCCAGCCGGCGTTTGTCCCAGATACGACTCCGTGCCCCGTAGGTCCTCTAAGTACGAATCTGACGGGGGAAGGACGCCGGAGCCACAGCGGGACACGAGGGCGACCCTGCCTGACGTGGAATTGGGGCTCCAGGAGGGCGCAGCAGGGAACTGGGGAGCTGGGGGTGCTCAGGGATTACTGAGGAACCGCGGGCAGGTTTTGGGAGGAGAGAGGCAAGAGATCTGCGCGCTGTTCTGAGCAGTTTGGGGCTTCTGCTGTTCCAAGAACTGACCATTTTGGAAAACACCCGTAAAGGAAAACCATTCATCGACTACACGGGAAAAAAATGAACGTTTTTAAGACTCTGGCACATGCAGCGACGTATTCCTTTGCATTTCCTCCTAGGGGAGTGGGGTGGGGGGACTGGACACCCTCCCTCCCCTGACCCCAAACACACCGTACCTACCTCTAACCCAGGGCAAGAGAAACGGGTCCCATCAGTGAGAACCAGCCCAGCCCAGCCCATGGGCTCCACCCCACGTGCTCCTCCCCATAAGCTCCGCCCCCGCACTTTTACCCCATTGCCCCTCCCCCCGAAGCCCCGCCCACGCACCTCCACCTATGACAGCCTCCCCTCTTCCCCGGAAGCCCCACCCTTTCACCATGGGCTCCTCCCCCGAACCCCGCCCATGTACCTCCACCTACATGGAGATCGTCCCCTCAGAGCCCTGCCCCGGCATCACCATCCAGGAGATCGTCCCCTCAGAGCCCCGCCCCTCAACGCCACGCCCTTGCGTCTCCACCCATCAGATCCTCTCCTTAGAGCCTCGCCCCCTGAAGCCCCGCCCCTACGTCACCACCTCAGATCTTCCCCTTAGAGCCCCGCCCTGCGTCTCCACCTACGAATCTCGAGCCCCGCCCCGAATCCCCGCCTATGAAAGCCTCCCTGCAGAGCCACGCCCCTGCACCTCCACCTATGAGATTCTCCTCACGGAACCCCGCCCCTGAATCTCCACCTAGGAGATCGTCCCCTCAGAGCCCCGCCCCTCAACGCCACGCCCTTGCATCTCCACCCATCAGATCCTCTCCTTAGAGCCTCGCCCCATGAAGCCCCGCCCCTAAGTCGCCCGCTGAGCTCTTCCCCTCAGAGCCTCGTCCTGCGTCTCCACCTATGAATCTCCCGGGTTCCGCCCTCGAATCGCCATTTGATTCTCCCGAGCCCCGCCCCCGAATCTCCACCTATGAAATCCTCCCTGCAGAGCCACGCCCCTGCGCCTCCACCTATGACATCCTCCCCTCAGAGCCCCGCCCCCAGATCTGCAGCTCCCGTTTCTGTCCTGGAAGCCCCGCCGCGGTCACCTCGCGTCATCTGCGGCTTCCCCGGGCCCCACTTGACGTCAGGGTGAACCAGACACACGCGCTGGGTCCCCGCCGGCAGCAGAGGCTCTCCCTGCAGCAGCTCCTCCTCCGCGTTCTCGTCCGCATCTTCCGCCTCCTCCTCGTCGTCTTCCGCGCGGCTTCGGCCGCCGTCCGCCCGCAGACCCGGCCCTCCGCCCCATGGCCCCTCCGAATTCCCGGGGCCCCTGCGGCCGACAGCGGCGAGCGCGCGCGCGGGGCAGGACGGCGCAGCTGCCCTCGGAGCCGGGAGGCCGCGGCCCACGCGGGAGAGCCGCAGTCCCCGGCGTACGGCGGCCCGCAGGGCCCACATGGCGCGTCGGGCGGCTGAGCGGTGGGGCGGGGCTGCCCACAGGCCGATCCTCGTCACGTGCTCGTGATTGGCGTGCGGCCGGGGCGGGCTCACCAGCGCCTCTCCTCGGCACAGGGCGTGCTCCTCATTGGTCATCCCGCGTCACGTGCTGGTGATTGGCTTGCGGCCAGGGCGGGCTCACCAGTTCCACCCACAGAACAGGGCGTGCTCCTCATTGGTCTTCCTGAGTCACGTGCTGGTGATTGGCGTGCGGTCGGGGCGGGCTCCCCAGCACGGGCGGGCTCCTCATTGGTTGATCCGCGTCATGTGCTGGTGATTGGCACGCGCCGCGGGCGGGAGAGGCGGGGCCGGGCCGCTTCTCATTAGGCGTGGGCTGCTCCTGCCAGACTCCGGGCCAGGTGCAGCCGCCGTTCGTGTAGGCGCCAGAACCCCGAGCCCCGGCGGCGCTGCCCTCACCCGCCTCTTTCCCGCTCCCGTCCTACCCCGTTCCGCGCTGGGTAGAGTCCAAGTCTGATTGCGAGGGTCCCGAACGCCGCCTCGGGGGCTTGACTTCAATCCCCGGGATCCCGAACGCCGCCCCCGGGTCCCCACGTCTGCCTTGGGGGCTCGAGTCCAGCCCTGGGGGGTCCCGGACACCGCCCGGGGGTCTCTACATCTGCTCTGGAGCCTGGAGTGCCGACGTGGGGGTCCCGGACGCCGCCCAGGAGTCCCCACGTCTGCCCTGGGGGCATGAGTCCAGCCCTGGGGGTCCCGGACGCCACCCAGGGGCCCCATGTCTGCTTTGGGGGCTCGAGTGCAGCCCTGGGGGTCCCGGACGCCGCCCGGGGGTCCTCACGTCTGCCTTGGAGACTGGCGTTCCCCCGTGGGAGTTCCGGACACCGCCCAGGTGGGTCCCCACGTCTGCCTTGGGGGCTGGAGACCTGCTCTGGGGGTCCCGGACGTCGCCCAGGAGTCCTCACTTCTGCTCTGGGGGCTGGAGACTTGCTCTGAGGGTCCCAGACGCCGCCCAGGAGTCCCCACTTCTGCTCTGGGGACTGGAGACCTGCTCTGGGGGGTCCCGGACGCCGCCCAGGTGGGTCCCCTCGTCTGCCTTGGGGGCTTGAGTCCAGCTCTGGGGGTCCCGGATGCCGTCCAGGGGGACCCCACATCTAGCCTTAAGGACTTGGGTCCAGCCCCAGGCGTCCTGGACACCGCCCAGGAGTCTCCACGTCTACCTGGGGGGCTCGAATCCTGTCCTGGGGGTCCCGGACGCCTCCCAGGGGTCCCCATGTCTGCCTTGGGCCTCGAGTCCAGCCGTGAGGGTCCCGAATGCTGCCTTGGAGGGTGGAGTCCAGCTCTGAGGGCCCTGAAGTCTGTTTTGGGGCCTCGAGTCCATCCCAGGGGTCCCTGAGTCTACACTGGGGGCCTGGATGGGATCCAGCGGGTCTGAGTCCAGCCTCGGGAGCCCCTGCGGTGGAGCTGTGACTGGGGCAGGGGCCTGGGAGATGTCAGGAAGATGCGAGCGGCGCCCCCCTGGGTCCAGGGGACGGTAAGAGGCAGCCGGTCCCAGAGAAGCTCCCCCACAAACTGTGACCCGTGGTGTGCAAAGCGTCCCGGAACCCCAGCCCTCACCAGCAGTTCTTGCATTTTTCAGGAGATCAGTCGCATTTGGCATGTTCCTTAAGCGTCTGCAGGAAGTTGTGGCCGCCTTGGTATTTCAGGAGGGTTTGCTAAACCCCCCTCATTGTAGGATCGGGGTATCCCAGCTGCTAATTATCTTCCTAACAACCCTGCAGGGCCTGGATTAACAGTGCGAGAGGTGACATTTTCAGCCCGAAGTCCCTAGGAAGGACAGGTGGCTGTAGCCTGCGTATTTGTGTCAATTAACCTCCCCTTTTAGTTCTGTGAAAGGAGAACTCGATTCGTTTAAAGTCACCTGCGTGAAAGGGGCCCTTGATTAGCTTAAAATCACCTGAATTGGCTTAAAATCGTGTGATCTCAATTGGCCTCTGAATCTTTACCACCTGCCATCTTCCTGCAAGCTCCAGGCTACGTTTTAAGGGGAGTAACGGGGCTCGCCTTTCTGCGTTACTTGATGTGACCGTAGTTGTAAAACAGAATGAGGGAGACAGCGGGGACTGTGCAGAAGTGTCACCCCCATTTATGCCTTGGGAAGGAGGCTGAGGTGGGAGGATTGCTTGAGCCCAGGAGTTTGATACCTGCATAGGCAACATGGTAAGACCCCTTATCTACAAAAAAAAAAAAGAAAAATTAGCCAGGCGTGGTGGTGGGTGCCTGTGGGCCCAGCTACTCGGGAGGCTGAGGTGGGAGGATCACTTGAGCCCAGGAGGTGGAGGCTGCGGTGAGCTCAGATTGCAGCACTGCACTCCAGCCTGGGTGACAGAGTTAAGACCCCATCTCAAACAAGAAGCACCAATAGGTGTCTGAGGTCAGGCACGGTGGCTCAAGCCTGTAATTCCAGCACTTTGGGCGGCCGAGGTGGGTGGATCACCTGAGGTCAGGAGTTCGAGACCTGCCTGACCAATATGGAGAAACACCGACTCTACTAAATATGCAAAAATTAGCTGGGCGTGGTGGCAGGTGCCTGTAGTCCCAGCTACCCTAGAGACTGAGGTAGGAGAATCGCTTGAACGTGGGAGGTGGAGGTTGCAGTGAGCTGAGATCGCGCCTCTGCACTCCAGCCTGGGCGACAGAGCGAGACCTTGACTGGGGGGCGGTCGGGGGAGGCATTTGGAACCATCGCCAAGCTGGGGATGGACCTAGGACAGTGGAGGGAGCCTCTGCAGGTGGAATCGCGATGTGCCCGGCTGGGGTGAATAGGGTTTGCTATACGTAGCCCTAAGCGGGGGACGTACACTATTGTTTTTTAACACCACCGAACTCAGCATCGGAACCCAGATTTGCCAGGGCAGCGCGGGACGGAGGCCTCTCCGGGGCTCCGTCTTCCCTGTTCATAGACTGCGAGACGGAATGAGAGCGTCCCCAGGTGGTGAAGTCAGGGATGTGTGTGTTTGTGTGTGTGTGTGTGTGTGTAGCCGACAATCTGGGCTCCGTCTGCCCTGTTAATAGACTGAGAGACGGAATGAGAGCTTTGAAGGTGCTGTGGGAGGAGCTCTGGGCATCCCCAGGTGGTGAAGTCAGGGACGTGTGTGTGTGTGTGTGTGTGGCCAACAATCTGCTGGGCTCCATCTTCCCTGTTAATAGACTGAGAGACGGAATGAGAGTGTCCCCCGGTGGACAGCCCAGGGATGTGTGTGTGTGTGTAGCCAACAATCTCCTGGGCTCCATCTTCCCAGACGGCCCGGGCTGCTGTGGGACGCGATACCGGGGTGGAGAGCGCTACGCCCTGGTGAGGACACGGCCTGGGGACTGGGATGCGGTCGGGTGCTGTCCCCGGAGACCAGAACGGCGGCTGCCCAGGCTCCGGGAGGCGTGTGTGGTGCGGCGGCCAAGCCTGGGGGAGCTGTGGCTTCTACAGAGGGTCCCGGGGTCGGCCCGCGGGTCACGGGGAACTTGGTTCCAGGCCCCCGCGGGAGCCACGCAGCAGCGTCTGCCGGGTGAGGGGCCTCGTCTGCGGCTTCAGGCTGGGCAGGGCCGTCTGTGCCACGCGGGGTTGGGCCGGCCCCGGGGCTGCGTCCCAGGAGAGGCCGGAGGTCGCCCCCAGCACGTGCCCAGGAGCCGCCCCACCCAGGCCAAGGGGTCAGACCCCACGCGGCACAGGGGCCCCGTCTGTGGGTGACGGGGGATGAGGGCTGCGTTGCAGACAGAGCTGGCTCGGGGCCTGGGCGCCACCTGGCGTCGACTCGGGCAGCTCACGCCTGAGCTGTGCCTCTTCCTGCTGTGATTTTGGGGACAAAAAGCCGTAGGTGGCCGGGCGCGGTGGCTCAGGCCTGTCCTCCCAGCACCGTCGGAGGCCAACGCAGGAGGATTGCCTGAGCCCAGGGGTTCCAGACCAGCCTGGCCAACAGCGAGACCCTCTTCTCTGTAAGAATTTTTTTTTTTTTTTGGAGACACAGTCTCACTCTGTCACCCAGTCTGGAGTGCAGTGGTGCGATCTTGGCTCACCGCAACTTCCACCTTCTGGGTTCAAGCGATTCTCCTGCCTCAGCCTCCCGAGTAGCTGGGATGACAGGCACCTGCCACCGTGCCTGGCTAATTTTTGTATTTTTAGTAAAGATGAGGTTTCACCATGTTGGCCAGGCTGGTCTCGATCTCCTGACCTCATGATCCACCCGCCTCGGCCTCCCGAAGTGGTGGGATGACAGGCGTGAGCCGCTGCGCCCGGCCCTGAGAAAATTTTAAAAATTAGCTGGACCTGGTGGTGGGACGCCTGTCTTCCCAGCTACTCAGGAGACTGAGGCAGGAGGATGGCCTGAGCCTGGGAGGCTAACGCTGCTGTGAGCTGTGACTGTAGCAGTGCACTGCGGCCGGGGCAACAGAGTGAGACCCTGTCTCTCAAAACCTCATAGGAGCAGATGTTTCCAGGGTGTGTGGTCTGTGTTGAGAGCTTCTCGCTGGTCATAGATCTCCTCCCTCCCCTCCCTTCCCTTCCCTTCTTCTCCCCTCCCTTCCCTTCCCTTCTTCTCCCCTCCCTTCCCTTCCTCTCCCCTCCCCTCCCTTCCTCTCCCCTCCCCTCCCTTCCTCTCCCCTCCCTTCCCCTCCCCTCCCTTCCCCGCCCCTCCCTTCCCCGCCCCTCCTCGCCCCTCCCCCCCTCGCCCCTCCCTTCCCTTCCTCCCCCTCCCCTCTCTTCCTCCCCTCCCCTCTCTTCCTCCCCCCTCCCCTCTCTTCCTCCCCCTCCCCTCTCTTCCTCCCCTCCCCTCTCTTCCTCCCCTCCCCTCTCTTCCTCCCCTCTCTTCCTCCCCTCCCCTCTCTTCCTCCCCTCTCTTCCTCCCCTCCTCTCTCCCCTCCCCTTCCTTCTTCCCTCCCCTTCCTTCTTCCCTCCCCTCCTCTCTCCTCTCCCCTCCCTCCCCTCCCCTCCCCTCCCTCTTTCCTTCCTTTCCTTCCTTCCTTTCGTTTCTTTGTTTCTCTCTCTCTCTCT